TGTTGTAAACTAGTTGTGTACTTAAAGTTTACTACTGTTATACTTAAAAGTATACTTTTATATATTAGAAAGTGGGCCAATTTAGTCCCAAGGAGTATTGAAATAGTACACTTACAAGTATACTACTAGTACACTGATATTTGTATACTTACTACATAAAGTATACTTAAAAATATACTTGAACTTTACTTAAGTATACTTACTAAAATAAACTTGAAGTATACTACTTTTTGGTAAGGGATGGCATGGTGGGCCAAATCAAAGGTTGTCAGTATACCAAAATCACTTACACTATTGGTCCAAGTTGAGGCAGCGTAAGCAGCGGCTTCCACTTTGTTCAGGGCATACGTGTCCTCTAAGCACTTCCTGTACCTCTCTGTCTCTCCGTCCTCATTTGCAAAGCTCCTCACTGTCTTCATGGAAGAGAAGGTTTCCGTGGCAACATCATTGGCCTTGGCGAGAGATTCTTGCACTTGTTTAGAAAGTTTCTGTGGGAAAAAAACATTATCACACATCAACACAAATGCTCTCGATGGACTCGATGAGCTAAAGAAAACCACCAGCAAATTGGAAGGTGTCACTGGAAACTTCAGCATACCAAACATAAAATAATTTTAATGCACATTCTCTGTGCTGACTTTTTGAGCATGCTTTATTTCCACAGACATCTTGAGGAAAGCCACTACAAACAAAACCACAGTTTTTTCATGTACTGGTCAATTTTGAGATTCTGGGCTGATTTACTTCCATAATATGTCTTCTTTCAGACTAGTGGAAAGAAAACATCCAAAATAAATGCATTTTTTTATTATGCATTATCTATTTGCATCTGCCGGTTTCAATTACAATACATATCTTTAAAGGACATTTTCTCAAAATGAGTTTTTTCGTCACACACTGAATCAGTTTCAGCCGCTTCAGAATCATTTGCACACACTAAACTTTACAGTTTTATTCCTATCTATATTCTGATGGTTTTTACAGAGGGTTGTTTTATACAAATAAAACAAGAATTTTGAACCCGGCTTTATCCAATGTTCATATGTTTGTTCTTGAAATATATGTAAATTAAGGCATATTTAATTACATGATGTTGCTTTTGCACATCTAAACATAACATTTCAGAAAACTTGTAATACAAAACAATTGTCTTATACTGTGATTAATCAACTGAGGAAATATGGTGATACTTATTAGTTAATGGCCCGGTTTCACAGACGGGGCTTAGCTTAAGCCAGGACTAGGCCATAGTTCAATTAGGATTTTAAAGTAATTTTTATAAACATGCCTTAGAAAAAAATATTACTGGTGTTTATCTTGAGACAAAACAAGGGCACTGACATATTTCAAGATCAATCAGTGCACGTTTCTTTCAGTTGAAACAGCTCAGACTTACACTTTAGTCGGGGACTAGGCTTAAGCCTAGAAACGTCTCAGGTTACTTGAGTAACCATGGTTCCCTGAGTAGGGAACGAGACACTGCGTCCTCTAGGGGTCGCTATGGCCTAGAGGACGCAGTTCGAAGTTCACTTGAAAGGGAACGTCTCAGGTTACTTATGTAACCATGGTTCCCTGAGTAGGGAACGAGACGAAGTTCCCTTGAAAGGGAACCAGGGGAAAATGTTTTTTAATTTATATAATTAATTAATATATATATATATATAGAACCCGATTAACCACATTTTGATTTAAATAACATTACAAGTGCACTATAAATGTGAAAAAATACAATGCAACATGCTCCTTTTAAGATATTAGCCTACAATCTAATGTATGATATTAATATAAGATTAATATCAATCTTACCTGGTAAAACTGGCCAGAAAATTCTGGGATAATCCAGATGATGGGGAGGCCGAGTACGGTGAAGAAGGTCAGCGTGCGGGAGAGCAGCACCATGGAGCCCAACAGGAAGACGACACGCATGAAGTACCACATGAGCAGACTCAGCTTCTCACTCAGAGACTCACTCATGGTGTTGGTGTCGGTGGTGATGCGAGATACAATGTCCCCTGAACAGGAAACCGGTAACAGTGACAGGATGCATTAAAACAATCAAAGACAGCAACAGTTATATGATAAAAGACACCGCTGTTAAAAAAGAACAGCACTAGTGGAATATGTTTGCAGTTTTACCTGTGGAAGATTTATCGAAGAACCCAATATCCTGCTTCAGCACAGACTGGAAGACGAGTCCTTGGATGGACGTGTGTATTCGGCTCATGGTGATGTTGTAGATGAGGTCACACACAAACTCACACACAGCGCTGCAGAAAACATTTATGCATTTATTTTTTAATGCAAGCTGTTTACTGTTACAGTAATATTTTGAAATATTATTACAATTAAAAAGTAATGTTTTCTACTTGAATATATTTTAAAATCTAATGTATTTTCAGCATCATTACTCCAGTCTTCAGTGTCACGTGATCCTTCAGAAATAATTCTAATATGCTGATTTGCTGCTCAAGAAACATTTCTGATTATCATAAATGCTGAAAACAGCTTAATATTTTTGTGCAAACTGTGATACATTTTTTCAGGATTCTTTCATGAATAGAAAGTTCAAAAGAAAATGGTTATTTGAAACTTTATAAATGTAACATTATAAATGTCTTTACAGTCACTTTTGATCATATTAATGTGTCTCTGCTTTGCAGTGACCTAAACGTTTGAACAGTAGTGTAAAAGATTGTCTTTTTGGTCTTACCTCATAATGGTCATCAGTGTCATGACAGTGATGGCGTGGTTAAAAGCCTCGGGTTCATCTTCATTCATGATCCAGTCAGTCATTTTCCCGGTGTAATGAGGAATCGCCATTTCACCTGCGGGACAATATGCATGGAGTTTATGATCAGTGACCCATATTATACTTTATTCATTAAAACATTAAAAATGTCTTATCTCTATAGAGAATAATCAATAGGTCCAATATAGTTGCTGAAAAGTACATATTTACTCTGTTTGCAAACTTGGCATGATTTTGTGTACTCAACAATTATCAGAGCAAACCTGACCAAAGTGAAAGTAAAAGTAACATTCGACGAACTTGAACTTTCTTTCATTTGTCAGACTATAGTTTTAAATGACACTGTAGGCTAGATTTCAAAGTAATTATTTACAGATCATAAAGCCATAACAGATATGTCATGTGATTTTTTTTAAATGGATGATCCAGAACCAGTTATATTAATTTAAATCAACAACTATTTTATACAATATTTTCTCATATTTATTTTGTAAAAAACAAAACAAAACAAAAAAAACAGAAAATGCCCATTATGTATTGTCTAGGCAAAGGCCTCAAGGGTCCGTGAAAAAAGTAAGAGAAAACCTACAACAATAATTTTAAAAAAAAACTGTTAAAAATTCAAATGAAACTCCATAAATAAACCATTTTTATTTAAATAAATAGATAAAATTATTGAAATGTAATAATATACATTTGATTTTAATAAATAAATAATACATCTAACTGTATTATAGTAATAGAAAGTAAATATTTGCCAAATAATATTTTAGACATATTTATAATATGAATTTTTTACTATATAAATTGGGTCTTAATATATATAGCTGCCTTTTTAATTTTAGGATTGGGGTCATTTGCACAAGGATGATCATATGTTAGGGTCCATGGCATCTAAAAGACTGGAATCGCCTGCTCTAGGTTATTGCTATTTTTTGCAGAATGGTCAAACCAGACTTTGACTCATAACATTAAACAGAAAATGTGCATTTATATGTATGACCCAACACATATTTTTACCTAATGAAGAAATAACCACAAAGAAAAAGACGGCTGCAAAACGTCCACTGAAAGGCTTCATGTATCCCAGCAGCCTTTGCAGCGAAGCCTTCTGCTCTGTTTTCTCCTTTTTGGCCGTCGGGAGGAGAGTGGGAACATGTCGTTTCCACAGCAACAGAGACAAAGCCAACACCGCATAACCCTGCAGGAGCTGAAATATAATCGGATTTTAATGCGCACATACACCTGACATTTAAAATACTCTTCCAGGTGTCTGTACACCATTTAAAGGTGTTAAAACCCATCTTACCCCTTGACAGGTGTGCCAACCCCACACCAGCTCCACTATAGGCCTGTCACAAGCCCAGAGGAAGGAGATATACACTGGATAGACAAGACCATGAACTACAGCTGTCTGCACCCCCTCGAATCCTCTCATCCACGCTGGGCTGCCAGGGTTGGTGAAGGAGACGAAGAGGAGGAGACATGTTCGGAGCAGTCCACCGGCCCACAGCATGATGAAGGTGTTGTTGATGAAGGACGGGGAGAGCTGGATGGCACCAATGAACATCACGGCACTCACGTCCACACACACTGCCAACAGGGCGAACAGAGGAACGGCCATCTTATCCTTCATCTCCAGCACTGCCAATGAGAAAACAGCATTTACAACAAATATCTGAATGAAATCACAGAACTTTGCAATTAGTGTAAAAAAAAGTGTTTATGTAAAACAATGGTACTTTTTTTGTTGTTAGTGGTTTCGATTAAGTAAATCAGTTTCACTTTCACTTAAAATGTATTTTAATATTAGGTTTGATGAGTTTTTGCTTACTTAACAGTCCATTTTATATCAAAGTAATAGTAAAAGTTGTGAATTGTTTGGGACTGTACAGGATTGAATAAGCTTAAAGATTTTCCAGCACTGCATGTAGACAATATGCCATTGAAAAAAAGAAAGCAAACAATACGTACCTTGTTAGAAGATACTACTGAAAATCTGCTTTGAAATGTAAGAATTTAATGTTTTCAATGTCGTCGTCACGTTTATTTAATACATTATAGCTTAAAAATAGTAAATAAACAAGAGGAATGATAGTGTTGCTCGTGTACCCTGCACACAAGGTTCAAATCTGAAACCGAAAGTATGAACTGCAAGGAAAATCCCATCTGAGCATAACTCATGAATATTAATTACGTAACGTGACGGTGGCGATGTAGTCCTACCTCATTGGTTGGCAGGCAGACGTTGGTAGGCAACTAGCCAATCAAGAAGGACTTATCTTATACATATAAATAATAACGTTGAATGTGTGTAAAAATGCCGCACAGGACGCGTTCTTACGTCGTCTTTCGATGTTTTAAATAGGCGTCTTTGACCGCTGCGACTCGTCTCGCTGTTTTGTAAGGGCCCTTGCGTCAAGAGTGCCGCGTTTTAAGACGCAGCGTTAAGTTAAAAATAGTTCAGCATTTATGAACGCGTCTCCAGTGTCTTCACTGTTCTCTTCACATACGTTGCGCAGCGCGTTGCGTGAACGAGCCTAATGTTACCAAGTAACGTCAGTGTAACTTAATTAATATTCATATAAATATGTATTGTAGCCTGCCTCTCTGCTCATAAAGGCTGGATGCAGATAACAAATAATACACAGTAAATTTGCCTTTTAGAACTGGTATCCCTGAATTTTTAAGGGGACCACAATAAGTGTAAGTATTCACTTTGTCCACCACATTTTTACACTGATTAAAAATATCTAAACACACAATCAGACCATCCTGGTCAGTTTTGTGGCAAACTAAGTTTATATATACTATATACACACACACACACACACACACACATATATATATATATATATATATATATATATATATATACACACACACACACACACATATATATACACACACACACACACATATATATATATATATATATATATATATACACACACACACACATATATATATATATATATATATATATTGCAATATTACAGAAATACGTCTTTGTCCCTCTGTGTCTTGCTTGCATAACTCAAGAATTCACATAAAAGTAATAAAATAAATAAAAATCTATTTGAATATATTTAAAAGTTCTAATAGAACAGAAATCATTCTAATATGCTGATTTGCTGCTCTAGAAGCATTTCTTACTACTATCAATGTTTAAAACAGCTGTACAAAAAAAAAGTAGTTTTGTAAAAGTAGTAAGTTCAGAAGAACAGCGTTTATAAAATATAAAATAGAAATATTTTTTAACATTAAAAATGTCTTTATTGTCCATTTTTATCAACTTGATGTGTCCTTGCTGAATAAAAGTATTAATTTCATTAAAAAATATCTTACTGACCCTTTTGAATAGTACTGTATATATCCATCTTCAATGGACAAACTGCTTAAAAAAGCAACAAAAATATACAAGACTTTTAGCAGACATATAAAAATGAGATATTATGTCTAGTTTGAACACAAGGAAGTGAAGGTTTTTTCTGTGGTATTGTTCAATTGTCCTGTCAAATTTCCTTCAACACAATTCGTGCAGTAAAATAATTCATAAACAGGTCAAACTCCTGCGATAATAACGACCTTTCAGATTCACACACACACACACACACACACACACACACTCGCTCCTATTCTTTTCCACACCGTGGCAGGAAGTCGTCCAGATATCCGCCGTGCTTCTGAAAAAGAATGAGGGACCAATTCGGGGACGGAGCTGTTGAGTGTGTAGACATGAACGTTCACACAGTATTACTGGACTGATACTGCTGCATCCATCTGAAGAAACCATCCAAGACTCCCTCAAGACATACAGTCTGCCTCAAATGAGAAGACGCCTGGTCTTGGTCTTGGTGATTCATACACAAGGGGGTCGTAGTGTTTTATCAATAGGAACTAGACTAACTCCAGACCCATCTGTGCGTTCAGACATGCACCTGACTGTGAGACTGTCCTTCATCTTATGGACTCTCTGCAGATCATCTCATGGTGAGTCCAATTCAGTTTCCTGTGGATAGAACTGATGGATGAATGAATAGATGGACACAGATGATTGCATGAGGATGTGATGATTGCTGGTGTTCTTACTACAGCTGCAAATGAGAGAGGAATAGTAGAGAATATTCACTGATTGTTTTTATAGCTTGAGGTGATCAGGAGTGCTCCACTTCTGACTGTCTGAGAGATGGATTCGACTGCCTCAAAGACAAAGGCACCTGCATGTAAGAAACCAATGTGACGCATGCTAATATCACAAAACAAACCAGGAGAAGTAACAGTAGTGGACGAAGTACACAAATCTAGTACTTGAGTAAAAATACAGATACCCTAATAAAATATTACTCTAGTATTAGTATTAGTACTCCTTTTCAATTTTACTTGAGTAAAAATACAAAATACTGATCGATAAATGTTTATTTTGTCATTTTAATTTATATACTTTTAGATATTTTTTAATCCTACTGCTCAAAATACTTGGGGAGGGAGGCCTATCATACACTATTAAAACATAAAATATATTTGTGAAAAAAAGAACCCGGTTTTCAAAATTGCGTGTAAACAATTGAAAAAAACTGTAAAAAATGTAATCGTTGCCCAGCACTTATATATATATATATATATTTCTCCAGTTCAAAATAACGAAGAACGACATGTTTAAGAAATGTAGTGGAGTAAAAAGTACGATATCATGCTTTGGAATGTAGTAAAAGTAAACGTTTTTTTTTTTATTATATAAAAATAGCCTACTACGATAAAGTACAGATAGATAGGCCTACTTGAGAAATGTACAATAAATACAATAACAAAGTAAAAATACTTAACTCTTGAGTAACTTCCCTGGAAAACTCTTTAAAGTATTATTTTTTGTCATAAATAATTGTAACCACAGTTATAATGCATCAAATTACATGTTGTTAAAGAGTATAAAGTAAAGTTGTTATAATTATTCATGAGAACCTACAACTGATTTACATATTAATTAATTGCAATGCAATACAAATATTTATCATTCATTGTATGCATGCTTAAAGTAAAATGTTTTGTTCTCTCAGTTTAGGGCATATTCAGTATTGCCGACATCACTATGACAACGGCCACTGCGACCAGGGCTGCAACACCGCCCCCTGTGGGTGGGACGGCTCGGACTGCCACAAAAAGCAGTACCCCATCTGGGCCAAAGGAAGCCTGATACTGCACACTAGAATCCCGTTCCAGAGGGGTCAGATCCAGAACAGCTCTCTGTTATGGCCCTTAAGCACTGTCCTGCAGACCAGCCTCAAACTCAGAGGGATGGCACCTCTCCAGCCCACCACAGACCTACTTACAATGGACACCCGACAGCTCGCTGAGCTGTATGCTCAAACACCATCCTATGACAGCAATGGGTTAGTGATACACTCATGTGTTTTCATTTAAAGAGGCCATATTCTACATTTCAAGCTTTAATTTAATTTAATTAAATTTTTATTTATAGTCCATGTTAATCAAGGGTTTATGCATCAGAAAATATAATATAAATAAACTATTACAAAAACATAAAAATATACCTATAATAATGTAAAAATAAATAATTTAAAGATGCCATATTTTACATTTCAAGCTCTTTTGTTTTGTTTTAATTTATTTTGTTATTTATAGTCCATGTTAATCAAGGGGTTATGCACTAAATATACTCATAATATAAATTAACTATAAAAACCCTAAGAATATACCTAAAAAATGTAATAAATAAATAAGTTTAAGTTTAAAAAGACCATATTCTACATTTCAAGCTTTTATTTTATTTTATGATTTTATAGTCTGTGTTAATCAAGGATTTATGCACCAAAAATATACTCATAATATTAAAAAAAACTATAAAACCCCTAAGCATATACCTAAAAATTATGTAAAATAAATAAAGAGTCCATATATCAGGCTTTTTTTTATTTAATTTAATTTTATAGTCCATGTTAATCAATGGGTTATGCACCAAAATATTCATAATATAAATAACCCATAAGGAAAAGGCTAAAAAAAATACATCTAAAAATAATAAAATGTTTCACAGCTATTTTCCACCCTCTCTCTGAGCTCTTGAATTAGGCTGTTATTGATATTATGCTTTTAGATTTGTTCATGTAAATGAACTTGGTTTTGATTGGCCAATCTGATTTAATACACTTTTGTTTGATTTTAAGGCCATTTTGTTTTACTTTTATATATGATTGTGACAGTATCTTCAGTAATGATATCATATCATACAGGTATTGTCTGTTTTCCAAATGTGTGCTGACTGCATGTGTATGTTTTTGCATTACAGGTCAGTGTTATTCCTGCAGCTGGATAACAGACCCTGCTCCCGGCTTCCCTCCACCTGTTTCCAGTATGCCATCGAGGCTGCACACTTCCTGCATGCCATCCTGGCACAGAATCACGCCTCGTTTCCCATGATCCCAGAGATCCAGGCGGCTGTGATCAGTGTACGTGGAGTCGATGAGGAAATAGGAGCCAGAGAGGAGGTGAAACTGCCAAAAGAGGAGCGCAACAGTATGCTGTCTTTGTACTTTACCAAAACATAAGCATACTATTCAGACACTTACAGAAGTACTTCATGCAAAATTTAAATTCGGTTATTATTTACTCACTATTATAATTTCCAACCAGTATGCCGTTTTTTTCCAGCAAAAAGTGTTATATTAGTATTTATTCATATTTATTTTGAATGACCTTTTATTTGAGGTTTTTTAGGTTTAAGTTTTTCATCTAATATTTATTTTATTTAAAGAGGCCAATGCTTTTATTTTATTTATTTAAACTAAATTTGAATAATATTTTAGTGTTTTTAAGTATTATTTATATACTATTATAATATTAGTAATATTTTGAATTAGCTTTTGTTTTATATTTTCAGTTTTCATTTCTATATAGCTTTAATTTATTTTTATTTCAATTTTAGTAATTTTATTACTTAAATTTATAAATTTCAGTTATTTGCTAAGATTATTTCCGTTAAGTTTTTCATCTGTGTTTTTAAGTATTATTTATATACTATTATAATATTAGTAATATTTTGAATTAGCTTTTGTTTTATATTTTCAGTTTTCATTTCTATATAGCTTTAATTTATTTTTATTTCAATTTTAGTAATTTTATTACTTAAATTTATAAATTTCAGTTATTTGCTAAGATAAAATTAATTCCGTTAAGTTTTTCATCTTTATATTTATTTTATTTAAATAGGCAATATTCTATATTTTAAGCTTTTATTTTACTTGTTTTATTTTACAATTAAATTTTTATAATTTAGTTATTTAACTATTATTCATATTTTATCATATTTATTCATATTTTGAATGAGCTTTTATTGTTTTATTTTCAGATTTCATTTTAATTTTAGTAATTTGTTAATAGTTTAGTGCTTTGCACATCTTTTTATCATGTTGTTCATCTCTCATTTTTTTCATA